GTACTTTTTCTGTGTTTAGATATGTTTAGATATGCACACTTACATTGTGTTCCATGTAGTAACATGCTGTATAGGTTTGTAGCCTAGGAGCAATAGGCTACTCCATAGCCTAAGTGTATAGTAGGATATACTATCTAGGTTTGTGTAAGTAGTACTGTACATGATATTCACACAATGAGGAAATTGCCTAATGACACATTTCTTAGAGTGTATTCTCATTGTTAAATGATGCATGACTGTACTTAGGTTAATTGTCAAAGATTGTTATAAAAAAGTAAGTATAAATGATATAAGCACTCCTTGGTGAACCACAAGTAAAGATGTGACCAATCTCTGCTAAAGCTTTTTTATTTTGTACTTTAAAAAACAGAAAGGATTTTTGTTTGTTTTTTTTTTTCTTTCTTTAAAAAAATTTTTAGATGGTTTTCCTGGAACTTGTGCTTCAGAGTATAGATTTTAAATTTAAAACCACAATATAGCAATTAAATTTATTCACTGATTATTTAAAGCAGTTATACGAAGTGATTGAATATGCAAGGTAGAAAAAAAAACATTACAGTCTATAGGAAAATTTGAAAACAAAAAAAAAATACAGCTTTCACTTGTGGATGTCTGCATTATTATGTATCTATTGAAATGAATACGCCCAGGATATTCTATAAACAGCTGCACCAGGAAAATTAGGGAAGAGATTGCTGTTATTAGTTTGACTGGCAGCTAATGGATAGCCTAAACAGTGAACACTAGTTCGTTCCATATAATTTAGCACAATCTTCTCCAGTCTTCAGATAAAGCATGCAATTAGAACTGTAATGATGGCTATGAATTCATTTAAGGTTTTGTACTATATTAGAATTAATTTTTAAATAAAATTTAGTTGGCTATGGAGTATATTAAAATTCCAGACAACTTGGAGAGATTGATAAAATTTGGTTTTATATATACTGATTAGAAAATGTAAATGGATATTTTTAATGGACAAATAACTACGCCATAATATAGCAAGTATTTCCAGTAACTAGCATTTCATCAGATACTGTTTAATATCTTTGTCGTCCTTTGAAAATGTGTTTCTTCATAGATTTCTTCTATTAACATTTGTTTTACATCTTTTTACATCTTTACTAAAGTAAATGAAATACAGAAATTATGGTGGACAAAAATAGTCCCGATCTCCTTATATAACTAATGGAAACTATACAGTAAATAATTGTGATGAGAACATGAACATTAACTACTGGCATCCTCATTTATGGGTAGTACATTATAATATTATTGCTTTTGATTTATAAACATGCAGAATAAAAGTATAATTTGAAATTTGGATGGAAAAAGTAATTTCTTATAAGTTTCACTTTTATTGCAGTAGTTAACACTGTTAAATATTCCCTTTAATATTTCTCTCTGCCTCTGTGGATTGTGTGTTTTTATTCTTGGCCAGGCATAGTGGCTCATGCCTGGAATCCCAGCACTTTGGGAGAGCGAGGTGGGAGGATCACTTGGGGCCAGGAGTTCAAGACCAGCCTGAGCAACATAGCAAGACCCCATCGCTACAAAAAATTTAAAAAATTAACCAGGCGTGCTGGCATGCTCCTGTAGTCCTAGCTACTTGGGAGGCTAAACCAGGAGGATCACTTGAGCCCAGGAATTTGAGGTTGCAGTGAGCTATGAAGACACCACTGTACTCTAGCCTGGATAGCAGAGCAAGACCCTGTTTCAAAAATAAAAAGAAAGAAAGAAAACATCCCCAAAATTATTCTTTTTTTTAAAAAAGAGTCTTGTTTAGATATAATTAGTGTATCAGAAAATTCATCCTTTTAAAGTGTACAATTCAGGAAGGGAGGGGTGCTCAAAAATTATTAAATGGTTTTCAGTTAATTCATAGAGTGGTGCAGTTATCACACACTTGTTCTAATTTCAAGACATTTTCATTACCCCCAAAAGAAACTCCATACCTATTAGCAGTCAATCCCTATTTCTCTTTGCCTTCAGCTCCTGGCAATCACTGATCTACTTTATGTTTCCATGTATTTGCCTATTCTGGATATTACATATAAATGGAATTATATAATAAATGGCCTTTTGTGACTGGCTTCTCTTAGCATGATGTTTTCCAGTTTCATCCATGTTGTAGCATGTATCAGTAATTTATTCCTTTTTATGGTTGAATATTCCCTTTTATGGATATGCCACATTTTGATCAGCCATTTATCAGTTGATGGACATTTGAATTGTTTTTATTTTTTATTTTATTTTTTTTAGAGATGGGGTCTCTGTCACCCAGACTGGAGTACAATGGTGCAATCATAGCTCATGGTAACCTCCAACTCCTGGGCTCAAGTGATCCTCCTGTCTCAGCCTCCTAAGTAGCCAGGACTAGAGGTGCATGCCACCATACCCAGCTAATTTAAAAAAAAATTTTTTATTTATAGTGAGAGATGGCATTCTTGTTATGTTGCCTAGACTGGTCTTGAACTCTTGGCCTCAGGTGATCCTCCCAAAGTGCTGGGATTACAGGTGTAAGTTACCATTCCTGACCAGCGAATTTTATATATGTTACCATAATTCAAAAGCTAATTTTTAAAAAAGCATTTCACAGCCCAAAAAGAAATATTTGTAAGAAATATAAATCGTAAAAGGTAATAGCTTTTAATCAGAAAGAAAAAGACTAACTGTCCAGTAGAAAGTTAGAAATATAACATGAGCTAATAATTCACAAAAGAAAAATATTTAATGGCACAGCCATGGGAAAACAAACACAACATTTTTTAATTGTTCAGTTGTTTCCTATGTAGCCACCTTTATCCTTTGCTGGTTGCATTATGAATTGGTAATGGCCTTTCTGGGGGGGTAGTTTGACACAAAGTCTGTATAGGTTATCCTTAATCCAAACATCTGAAATTTGAAATGCTCCAGAATATGAATGTTTTGGAGCAGTGCCATGATGCTCAAAGAAAATGTTCATTGGAGCATGTTCAGATTAGGATTACTCAACCAGATAAGTATATGATATGAATATATTTCGGATTTTTATATTTTTTAATACATTTCAAAATCCAAAAAAATTCAAAATCCAAAATACTTCTTGTCCCAAACATTTTAGATAAGGAATACTCAGCCTGTATCAAGTACATTTCAACCTGTAATGCACTTTTAGAGATGAGTCCTAAAAGGCGGGCATGGTGGTGTGCACCTGTAGTCTCATTTACTCTGGAGGCTAAGACAGGAGAATTGCTTAAACTTAGGAGTTCAATGCCAGCCTAGGCAACATAGCAAGACCTCTGTTTCTTACAATAAAAAAGAAAGAGGCCGGGCATGGTGGCTCACGCCTGTAATCCTAGCACTCTGGGAGGCCGAGGCGGGTGGATTTCTCAACGTCAGGAGTTCGAAACCAGCTTGAGCAAGCGAGTCCCCATCTCTACTCTAAATAGAAAGAAATTAATTGGCCAACTAATATATATAGAAAAAAAAATTAGCTGGGCATGGTGGCACATCCCTGTAGTCCCAGCTACTCGGGAGGCTGAGGCAGTAGGATTGCTTGAGCGCAGGAGTTTGAGGTTGCTGTGAGCTAGGATGACACCACGCATTCACTCTAACCTGGGCAACAAAGTGAGACTCTGTCTCAAAAAAAAAAAAAAAAAAGAAAGAAAAAGAAAGAAAGCAAGCTGTCCTGAAATAACACAGGATTTTATGTATACTAATGAGTTCGTTAGGCAAGACTGTATTACAGTGAAAAATGGAATCCACTTAATAAATTATGGTTTCTCTATCCAAGGAAGTATTTCTCCAGCATTATAAATTATGGTTTTGAGATCCCAGCACTTCAGGAACTGAGTCAGGAGAATTGCTTGCAGCTGGCCAGAAATTCACAACCAACCTAGGTAACATAGTGAGACCCTGTCTCTACAAAAGAAAAAAATACATATATTAGCCAGCCATAGTGGCCTGCACCTGTAGTTTCAGCTACTTAAGGGATTGAGGCAGAAGGATCACTTCAGCCCAGGAGTTGTAGTGAGCTATGATGATGCCACTGCACTCTAGCCTGGGTAACACAACAAGATCTTGTCTCTTAAAAACAAAAAAATTATGGTTGAGGAGCTTGGCTCTGAAGCAGAGATAGAAAATGGGAGTTTAGCGGTAAAGCAATTTCTTACGCCTGTTATCCTTGCACTCTGGGAGGCCAAGGTGGAAGGATCGCTTGAAATCAGGAGTTGGAGACCACTCTGAGCAAGAGCAAGATGGCATCTCTGCCAAAAATAGAAAAATTAGCTGGGTGTGGTGTTGCACAGCTGTAGTCCCAGCTACTTGGGAGGCTGAGGGAGGAGGATTGCTTGAGCCCAGAAGTCTGAGGTTGCAGTGAGCTATGATGATCACCACTGCAGTCTACCCAGGGCAACAGAGTGAGATTCTGACTGAAAAAAAAAAAGATGAAATTTGATGGTATTTATATGCTATAGGGCAGAAACCAGTAGAGATATAAAGATTTTAGGTATCTGTATGACAGTAGGAAGTGGATTATTAACTTTAGGCCACTGTAAATGTTGAAAATAGTTTAGAGATCCTTAGAAGTCTCAGACCCAGATCATATTTCCTTGCCTAACAAGTTGCCCAGCTTGTCTGTGACTATGCAGAGAAGGAGGCAGAAAGAGAGAAAGGAGAGTAGGGTCCAAGTGGACAAGGGTGGTGGTGGTGGGGCTAGCAGGAAAGATGAAAGAGAGAGAGAGAGAAAAACCACATTATGAACTATGAAGATATTAGTCATTGAGTTTAGCCTTTGGAAAACATTAAGAGGAGAATTTGAATGATGACATTTGATCATATAAATTCCTAATATCCATTTCTTTGTTTTGTTTTTTTTTTCCTCCCCTGAGTTGAGGTTGTGGTTAATACTGTGTTCGACTAGTTACTTAAGAGTGATAATACATTTGTCATTAATGCAGATGATCATAGTTTTTAAAAGTAGTATGTTATTCTTTAATAAATATATTTTTGCCTTTAAGAGAGGAAAAGACTGAACAGTTATTAGACTGTAAACAAGAACTTGAGCAAATGGAAATGGAACTAAAAAGGCTGCAACAAGAGGTTTGTACCTGGAACTTCTATTGTATAAGAGCATAAAATAATTGGAAATTGATTTTTCTCCTTGTAATTTGTTACCTTTACCTCAGTGCTTTATAAATAAGTGAGATCACTGAGGCTTGAAGAGATTGGATGACTTTTTCAGTATCTCTCCAAAAATATCAAAGTCAAAACTAAAAATTAAGGTCTTTGAACTTTTCTTTGTTCTGTATTAGTGACATTCAAACTTTCCTAAGATTCAAAAGAATCCTTTAAGACCAGGGTAGTTCCAAGTTTTTTTCTTTATGTATTTGGCTTCTATAGCCTTGGAAGCTTTAGAACACCTCTATTATAAATTGTGCTGTATGTATCTCCCTGTATTTCTCTCTGATGGAGTTTTATTTAACATATATCTGGTATAATTTCACTCTTTTCCTATTAAATAAGAGTAAAACTTTTTAATTTTAAAAAATGATTGTCTTTTTATTTTATGAAAGCTTTCTCTTTTTTATCTTGAACCGAGTGTTTAAAAATTCACTTTTTAAATCACTCTAATATTTCATTTTTATTTGGAGGTGGTGTGTATGAGCTCTTTAATCCATAAGGAATAAGAATTAGAGTAAAGCTGGACAGTTGTTTCTTCCCTTAACTTCCCCTAACCTGCCATTTTAAATGTAGGGAATACTCCATTTGCAAGATCATAAACTAGGAACTTCTAGACAATTGAGAGTAAGAATCATAATCTTTATTTCTAGATATGCTGAGGCTATTCCACTTCTTGATAGCACGGTTTTTTGTAGGTTTGTTCACTCTTCTATTAGTATTATCATATTAGAAATTAAGCTAAGAATTTTTAAAATATTAATTCAGTTGAAAAATACTCAACCCATTCCATGTTAATATAAAAATGAAGGCCAGGCATGGTAGCCACGCCTTTTATCCTAGACTATGAGAGGCCAAGTCTGGAGGATCGCCTGAGGTCAGGGTTCGAGACCAGCCTGAGCAAGAGTGAGACCCTGTCTCTACTAAAATAGGGCAGCTAAAAATAGAAAAAAATAAATCACACTTTGAGAACTGCTTTTATAAGGTTGGATTTTAATATTTGTCTCATGGCATTAAGATATGCATTAATCATTTTACTTGGAAGGATTTTTTAAAATGTCAGCAAGATTTTGGTATGTTATACCATATCTAGTTAGGAATCTCATTTCTCTTAAGTAACTAACAATTAATTTTTAGTAATATAGCTTGCCTTTTGGTATTTTTACTATCCTGTATTTTAAAGTTAACTCTTTCACCTTAATTTCATTGCAAATGATTGTAAGTAGAGGTTACCTTATTTGAAAATATCCTGAATAGTTTTTATATTCCTAATAGAGAACTTTATATAAGTTGTGTATAAACCTAAATATATTATGTTAAATACTTGTTCTTGGTTTTAAAAAAGACCTTGTATCCTCTCATTTTAAGAACAAATTAATTAGCGGGCGCGGTGGCTCAAGCCTGTAATCCTAGCACTCTGGGAGGCCGAGGCGGGCGGATTGCTCGAGGTCAGGAGTTCGAAACCAGCCTGAGCAAGAGCAAGACCCGTCTCTACTATAAATAGAAAGAAATTATTGGCCACATAATATATTATATATAAAAATTAACCGGGCGTGGTGGCGCATGCCTGTAGTCCCAGCTACTCGGGAGGCTGAGGCAGAAGGATTGCTTGAGCCCAGGAGTTTGAGGTTGCTGTGAGCTAGGCTGATGCACGGCACTCACTCTAGCCTGTGCAACAAGCGAGACTCTGTCGTCAAAAAAAAGAACAAATTAATTGAGGTATAATTTACATACTTTATAAAATTCACCCTTTTAAAATATATAATTTATTGATTTTTTAAAGTAAATTTATCAAGTTGTACAGCTAAAGAATAACAGGTTGAAACCGAAAATAATATTTAAAATGGTATTATTTGTTCATATTTATTTTTTAATTTTTAAAATATATTTTATATTATTTTGTTAATTTTTCTATTTCTCAGTTTGTTTTTTCATTAACCTTAGTGATATTTGTTCATATTTAGAACATGAATTTGCTTTCGGATGCTCGTTCTGCCAGAATGTACCGAGATGAATTAGATGCACTTCGAGAGAAGGCAGTCAGAGTTGATAAGCTTGAAAGTGAAGTCAGCAGATATAAAGAGAGACTACATGATATTGAATTTTATAAGGCAAGAGTTGAGGTATGTTGCATAATTAACCATTCATGATATTTTTTAAATGTGTTATGATTTTTAAAATGCATTTAAAATGCACTTAATAAACATGAGAAGCTCTTGAAATGTTGAAGAAACAATAAATACCCCTGAGTGTTTATTTTATGATAGACCAGCATATTAGACTTTTACCAAGGAATCCTTAATTTTATTGAATTTATCTGGATGCTTCTTTCATTCCTTTACTTAGCATCATAGGTAGATCAGACTTTTGCAATTCTTCCCTCATTGTCAAAGTATTTCTCTCTGCTAATCTCAAACTTGTGAAAGTATAACATATTTCTGATTGCTCCTTAACCAAGACTACTAAATTAAGATTAATGAAGGCTACTATATACATACAAACAAATTAGGAAAACCAACTTTTCTTGTTTGAGTTTGATAGCAAGAATTTGACACTTCTTGTATCCTTTTTTCCTTTCTCAGTTAATTTCCTCATTGTCTGTAAACAGCAGATTTTGGTTAGTTTCAATATGAGTTTACTAAGAACAAGGGAGTACACAAAATCAAGAAATGAAGACATGAGAGAAAGTAGTTAGAACATTTTAGTGTGTAGGTTACCAATAAATAGACCCAACAGGACTGCAAAGATAAAGTACATATTAATTCTTTACTAGTTATTTAGCCATGCATATGCATGGCACTATTAAGAGAGTTTCAGGAATGCCACTGTCTTAATATACTTTCTTTTGACTTTATAAACCATATTCATATAACTTAGCAAGATAGAATTGTGAACACTTAGCTTTGTGCAGTGGCAGTATTGTAGCCAATGAGGTTTATCTGAGGTGCAATTATTACAATTGAAAACTTTTCCCAATACCCCGCCATGATGACTTGCAATATAGTCGGCATTGGCAATTTTGATGGTCCCTACAGGGACTGAATTAAAAAAGAAAAAAGAATTGTGAACAAATATCTTTAAAACTTATGTAGGGATTTTCAAGAATTTCCTTAAGGTGTTTATGTAAAGTATGTATTAATAGAGCCTTGGTTTTTGATTTATGTGAGTCTTAGTTCAAGTCTTAAAAGCCTCAAACCTTTCACTTTCAAGTTATAGCTCTAAGTACAGAAAAATCTTTAATGCATTTCAGTCAATAAATTAAGCCCTGATTCTATGGAGATTTGTGTCTTAAATATCTGGAAGACTACTTGTACTAGTTCCTTATCCTTGTTACTAAGAAATTTAAATTACCCTGACAATTTCATGTGAAATTACAGTAGTATTTCTCATCCTGATATAAGTATTGAGTATTTTGTTTGCATAATAGCTTAAATTCTGGGGGAAACAAGAAAATTTCAGCTATATTTTTATTACTCAGTAACTTTACTCTTGTATAGAACTGTTGATAAATATTTGTTAATGTTCTTTTTTTACAATAACTTTTATGTTCCAGAGCTTTAAAAAAATTGAAAGATATTAATACATTTGTGATAAATAAAGCCTGTTTTAAATGTTTATAGGAATTAAAAGAAGACAATCAAGTTTTATTAGAGACAAAAACTATGTTGGAAGACCAACTAGAAGGAACTCGAGCTCGTTCTGATAAATTACATGAATTAGAAAAAGAGAACTTACAACTGAAGGCTAAACTTCATGATATGGAAATGGTAAGCTTTAAGGGATAGATCAGTTACCTGGGCTCTAAAGAAAAATTATAAGATTCTGCTTATTTCCCTATAATGTCAGGATGGCTAGTGTCCTTGAGGTTTTAACAGAGAAGAGCTAATTATATAAATTAGATGCTTCCAACTTAATATAAATACAGAAGTAGTAGAAATTCTGCTTTTGTTACAGAGGGCAGTACTTATTAATTTTGTCTTCTACTTTTCAAGACCACAATAAATAAGCTATTGTTTAAAAATGTCTTTAAAAATACAGAACTAAAGCTATTGCTAAAATTTAGCATAATTCTTCATAATTATTTTGTTAAATCACTAAAACACAAAATATTGACTATGAAGAAGAGTTTTCATTGTCTCTCCAAAGATCACTTTAAAAGGATGTCAGACACCTACTCAGTATAGTGACCAGTAATAATTATATTTGCCTTTAAAGTGTGAAAATTTTAAAGAACTCAAAGTTTTTATAGTATTTTCTAATAAATGAAAGTTATGAGTAATAAAACATTAGCTAGAAATGGTATTTCTTAGCTTTCTTTTCTCTCCCTGCTCCTTGCCAATAAAAAAGGAACGAGATATGGATAGAAAAAAGATTGAAGAATTAATGGAAGAAAATATGACTTTGGAAATGGCACAGAAACAAAGTATGGATGAGTCATTACATCTTGGCTGGGAGCTGGAACAGATATCTAAAACTAGTGAACTTTCTGAAGGTATTCCCAATTTTATTTTATTTAAATTAAGATAAAGGAATAAAGTTGTATTTATGTTTAAATTTCTGGTTATTTTATTATAGTTCTTTATATTCCCTAATAGGAGATATCTCAGAAGGCCAGCTGTATCCCTAGATATGATTTCACACGGTAATCATAAAGTGGCAAGAAAGTTGCCACTTTCTTGGGTCTGGTAATTAGCTTTGCATGTCTTACAACTCAGTTTTAAGAGTGCAGTAACAAATTTCATTGGTTGTTTAGGCACTATTTCATGTTAATATCAGAAGAGGCTGGAATTACTAATTTATTTGGAGAACTATAACCATGTAGTAAATAAAACATAAAAAGTCATATTAGCTGGTTAGTATGTTCTTTGGCTATAGGCAAACCCAAATAGGAGGTCAAAACATAATGGGAAGATTCTTAGATGAATTATAGTCAGAATAAATTAAGTTAGGGATCTTCATGGCTACTTTCATAATATATGTAATAATATCTAGGTTAAAAGATTATACCTGCCAACTAGTCCAATCCAGTTATACCCTGGGGAGATAAGGAAACGACCCTGGCGTAAATTTTAACTTTTGGCTCTTTTTTCCTAGGCTCCACATTGACTTGTCCTCTTAATTAAAGCTGGGCATAATTACATACAATACAGTTGTTTCAGTTATAGCTTCCAATATGCTAATACGGATATCCTTTCTTAAAGTTATAGTTGGATCACATTTCTTTAAATTAGATAGTTACATAATTCCTCAGTTGCCTAGTGTTAGATTATCTACACGCATTTTTTCCCAAAATATTTTTTAAGCACCTACCATGTGGAATATACTATCTCAGCCCCTAAGAATACAGTAGTGTGGTAGATATAAGCTCTGAGAAAGTTTATAATCTGATGCTTATAGAGTAATCACTTGTACAGATAACTCATCCTAGTCATTACTTATTAGGTTTTTTCTATTTTACATTTGAGAATCTAATTTCAAATTCTAGGGCCCCAAATACTGACTACATAATAAGTGAGGATATTCAGTCAGTGAATTTGCTGAAATGTGTTACTTAAAATATTTTTTGGAACTTTTTAAAATCATATTCCTTGTGAATTGAATTACAAAGAAAGCAATTCAGATTTAAATGTTTTCTACTACTAAAGTAATTAAAATTACACTGTTATTTAAGAGTTTCCTTACCTTATTAAATAGCGACAAAATAGTACCTTTTAGGGTTGTTGTGAGGATTACATTTGTTGATACTTGTGAAGCCTTTGGAACAATGCCTACTAAATAAGCACTCAAGTGTTTATTATTATTATCATTATATCATGGTTGTTTCATAATTGATCTTAGCTGGGGTCGTAGAACTAAATATTCATTTTAATGTGTTGTAGTTTTCAATTTTTTTTAAGTTTACAAGAGTGGGGAGGGATAGAAAAAAATAAAGTTTACAAGAGATTTTCTTTCTAGAAAATGCACAAAACGTGGAAAAATACAAAGGAAGAAATAAAAGTCACAAATAATTTCTTAAATCACTTTTCCATTTCAGAAAATCTGCTTCAGAACTTTTCTACACATTCATATGTGTTTTAAACATCACCAGGTCAATCTGTGTGTATAAGTCAGATTTCTTTTTTCACCTAAGATTATAACATGCACTCTCCCATGTTACTAAGAATGTATTGTAAGCATCCTTTTTAATACTTCATAATTTGACCTGAAGTTTCATGGAAGTATTATTAGTATATATCATGTTGCAACATAGTCTTATTTATTTGAAATGCATGAGTACAAACCATGAATGTGACTTGGATAGATAGAATCATGAAGAAATAGAAAATCTGAACAGAACAATAATGAGTAAGGAGATTGAATCCATAATAAAAAGTGCCCAGAACCTGATGGTTTCACTGCTGAATAAAACTTTTTTTTTTTTTTAAGAGACAGTGTCTCTCTTTGTCACCCAGGCTTAAGTACAGTGGTATAATCATAGCTCACTTTAGCCTTGGACTCGTAGGCTCAAGGAATCCTCCCGTCTCAGCCTCCTGAGTAGCTAGGAATATAGGCAAATGTCATTATGCCTGACAAATTTTTTTCATTTTTTGTAGAGACTGGGTCTTGCTCTGTTGCTCAGGCTGATCTTGAACTCCCGGCCTCAAGTGATCCTCCCACCTTAGCCTCCCAAAGCACTGGGATTATAGGCATGAGCCACTGTACCCAGCCTGAATTAAACATTTAAAGAAGAACTAACACCAATCCTCAAACTCTTTTAAAAATTTGAAGAGGAAGGAATGCTTCCAAACTCATTTTACATGGCCAGCATTACCCTGATAATTTAAATCTAGACAAGGACACTGCAAGAAAACAGGCTGGGCGCGGTGGCTCACACCTGTAATCCTAGCACTCTGGGAGGCCGAGGCGGGTGGATTGCTCGAGGTCAGGAGTTCGAAACCAGCCTGAGCAAGAGGGAGACCCCGTCTCTACTATATAGAAATAAATTAATTGACCAACTAATATATATAGAAAAAATTAGTCGGGCATGGTGGTGCATGCCTGTAGTCCCAGCTACTCGGGAGGCTTAGGCAGAAGGATCGCTTGAACCCAGGAGTTTGAGGTTGCTGTGAGCTAGGCTGATGCTACGGCACTCACTCTAGCCTGGGCAACAAACCGAGACTCTGTCTAAAGAAAAAGAAAAGAAAAGAAAGTTACAGGCCAATATACCTGATGAACATAGTTGCAAAAATCCTCAACAAAATACTAGCAAACTGTATTTAATAGCACATTAAAAGGTTTCACCATGTATAAGTGGGATGTATCCCTGGGGTACAAGGATGGTTAAACATATGCTAATCAATAAATGTGATACACCATTTAACAGAATAAAGAAGGAAAACCATATGATCATTTCATTAGATGCAGAAAAAGCATTTAACAAAATCCAACATCTTTTGTGATAAAAACTCTCAAAAAATTAGATACAGAAGGAATGTACCTCAGAACAATAAAGGCCATAAATGACAAGTCCATGGCTAACGTCATGCTCAGCAGAGAAAAGTTGAGAGTTTTTCTCTAAGATTGGAATTAAGACAAGGATGCCCACTCTTGTCACTTCTCTTCAGCATAGTGCTGGAAGCTCTAGTCAGAGTGGTAGGTGAGAGAAGGAAATAAAAAAAAAAAACAAAATTAGAAGGGAACAAGTTTCATTGTATGTGTTTACAGACAACTTGATCTTTTTTCTAGAAAACCCTAAAGATTCCACCAAAAAAATGTTTAAACTAATAAACAAATTCAGTAAAGTTGCAGGATATAAAATCAACATTAAAAACGCTAGTAGCATTTCTATATACTAACAACAAACTATCCAAAAAAAAGAAAACATTCCTGTTTACAATAGGTACAAACAAATTTAAAATACTTAAGAATAAATTTAACCAACGAGGTTAAAGATAGTTTAACTGAAAGATAGCTCCTTAAAGATAGCTACACTGAAAACTATAGAACGTTGATGAATGAAATCAAAGAAGACACAAACAGATATCCCATGTTCATGGATTGAAAGAATTAATATCATTAAAATGTCCGTATTACCCAAAGTGATTTACAGATTCGATATAATTCCTATCAAAATCTCAATAACATTTTTCACAGAAACAGGAAAAAACAGTCCTAAAATGCATATGGAACCACAAAAAACCCTGAATAGCCAAAACAATCTTGAGCAAAAAGTACATAGCTGGAGGTACCACATTTCTTGATTTCAAAATCTACAACAAAGCTATAATAACTAAAATAGCATGATACTGGCATAATAGACACATAGACCAGTGGAACAGAATAGAAAGCCCAGAAATAAATGCATACATTTATGGTCAATTGATTTTTTTTTTTTTTTTGAGACAGAATCTCACTTTGTTACCCAGGCTAGAGTGCCGTGGTGTAAGCCTAGCTCACAGCAACCTCAAACTCCTGGGCTCAAGCAATCCTACTGCCTCAGCCTCCCGAGTAGCTGGGACTATAGGCATGCGCCACCATGCCTGGCTAATTTTTCATATATATATTTTTTTAGTTGTCCAGCTAATTTCTTTCTATTTTTTTTAGTAGAGACGGGGTCTCGCTCTTGCTTAGGCTGGTCTGGAACTCCTGAACTCAAACGATCCTCTCACCTTGGCCTCCCAGAGTGCAAAAATTACAGGCGTGAGCCCCCACCACATCCGGCCAAGTTGTTAATTTCTCACAGAAATAGAACTGGAACTCTAGTGTCTTAAGTCTGAATTTAGTGCTTTTTTTCCAATAGAAAGCTATGGATGCATTAAAAGTTAAAAGATTTACCTATTTTTTTATTGTGTATGTCTTATATAACTTTATTGATTTTTTTTAAAATAAAGTTAAGCACTATGTGACCTACTACGTTTGCACTCAATGTTTTAAATAGTAACAAATAAACATAGTTTTACCAGTGGTGTATTTTTTAATATTATAGCACCACAGAAATCCTTGGGCCATGAGGTGAATGAGTTGACATCAAGTAGATTATTAAAGTTGGAAATGGAAAACCAGAGTTTGACAAAAACTGTAGAAGAGCTTCGGAGTACTATGGATTCTGTAGAAGGCAATACTTCCAAAATCCTGAAAATTGAAAAAGAAAATCAAAGACTAAGTAAAAAGGTAAATAAAAATGTAATGTTTATTGTCATATTTAAAAATATATGTAAATAGATATATAGCACATTTGTTTTCTATTTTTTAAATGTACCTTCAATATTATTTTAACCTGTTATGTAAAATTTCAAAGATACATAAATGTGGTGTGAATGAACCTTATACTCATTATTCAGCTTCAGTAATTAACTTAGAGCTGATCTTATTTCATTTCTATCCCTGCCTAATCTCCCACTGCCTCTAAATCTGTGGCCCCCAACCCCTGGGCTGCTGCCCAGTACTGGTCCATGACCTTTTAGGAAACAGGCCACACCATGGTGAGCTCTCCACACCATCTTCCCTACCCATTAACCCCACCCCACCCTCAGTCTGTGGGAAAATCTTCCAGGAAACCAGTTGGGGACCACTGCTAGATGATTATGAAGCAAATCCTAGACATTGTATCATTTTACCAATAAATATTTGAATATATGTATCAAAAAAGTAAGGAATTTTTAAAAACAAACTTTATCACCTAAAAAGTTAATTTTTAATAACATAAAATTCTTAGTCATTGTTCCAGTTTCTCCATTCTCTTACAATATTTACTTTTTACATTTTGTTTCAATCTGAATTCTAATAAGAGCAATACATTCAATTGATTGCCGTGTCCCTTAGGTCTTTTATATTTTAGTCTGTGAGTTTCCTCTTTTTTCCTAGCAACTTTTCTATTGAAGAAACCAGGTTGTTTGTCTAACAGAGTTTGCCCACAATCTAGATTTTGCTGATTGCATATTTTTTGTGTCACTTAACAAGTGACACAATATAGGGAACAAGCTTTTGTTCCCTATATTTCCTGTTTTTTGTAAGAATATTCATAATAGGTATATATATTTCAGTCAGGAGACCCATGTCTGCTTGCCTTTTTTGTGTGTGTGATGTTAGTTGTCTTGTTCATTGATTAAGTACAGGTTAAAAATCGAAATACTCTAATTATATCATCCCTTCATAATTTGGTAGCTGGATTAATTTTTATAAGGAAAAACTTGAAAAACCAAAACTACTGGTTTAAAAAAAACTGTTACTCACAAAAACAGCTCTTATGGGAAAAGCAAGATGAATATTTCTTTCCCTTTATTTACTAGTTTCCAAATAATGAATTGGTTCTCTCATATCCTCCTGAGATAACTAGTGAATAAGTTTGTTGTTTTAGTGTCATTATGAACTCATGAATTTAAAAATATTTGAAGCATTTCTCAACCCATTGCATTTATTTTTCTTACTGCCCCAACTTGGGCTAGTGGGAGCTCCTTTAAAAGCTGCTTCCTAAATCCTTATGGCATGACCTTAGCACTCCTTGAGAGCTTCCTTGCTTTCTGGCATGACAAAATATTCTAGGCTCATCTTGAACATTTACTATCCCAGATCTGGAAACAGCCATTTCTTCAAAAAGCCCTTGTTCCTTTGGGTAGGAAGTGGTATTTAAAAGCCATACGTTAGCATTATAAAACTTGAATTTTAATTAGGCTTTGGTGTAACAGAAATATTCCAACTGTGGAATAGTTCGAACAAGTAATATATTTTTGCATATCTTTCTGCACACACACAGGTGCACACACAGGTAATTTTATATAAACAGAGTCCTACCATAAAAACATACATGACTAAGAATGCTTGCTTCTAAGAAGTTCCTAAGTGATGCTTATCCTGCTGTCCTGGAGGCATGCTTTGGGAACCGCTGCCTTAGATTATTCAAATAGAATTCTTGATTTTCTTGCAAAATTTTTAATGTTTTAAAACATCTTTGCATTGTCTTTAATCCATTAACCAAATAATCTTAATAAGCATTTGATGATCAACATAGTGTTAAAGTAGGAGTGGCCCTTTAGAATTTATAAACAAGTCTGTAGGGCAGCAGACTCCAACCTTTTTGGCACCAGGAACCAGTTTCATGGAAGACAGTTTTTCCATAGACTGAGGGAGTGAGGATGGGGAATGGTTTTGAGGTGACTGAAGCACATTACATTTATTGTGCAGTCAAACCTCTCTGCTAATGATAATCTGCATTTGCAGTGGCTCCCCAGTGCTAGTATCACTGCCTCAGCTCCACCTTGGATTGTCAGGCATTTAGAGTTTCAGCAGGACGGTGCAACCTAGATCCCTCGAATGTGCAGTTTACAGTAGAGTTCCAACTGCTCTGAGAATCATAAGTGCCACTGATCTGACAGGAGGTGACTTTTATGCAGTGGTGCAAGCGATGGGGAGTGACTGTAAATACAGATGAAGCTTCACTCACCTCCTGCTGTGTGGCCCGGTTCCTAACAGGCCACAGAGTGGTATGTGTCTGTGGCCTGGGGGTTGGAGGATGCAGCTGTAGGGTAGGGAACCATTTCATTTTCAAATTAGCTTTGAAGTTTAATTTGTAAATTCTTAGTGATGCAAACAATTTTTGATCAATTCATTGTATGGAAAATATTTTTTGTAAACTGAATATCTCAGTTGAATCCCATTGATGTAAAACAACAAATGAATTTAATTCCACAACTTATTCCTGTATTTCCATCCGTAATGAAAGAACCATATTAATTAGTTACTAATAGCTAAAAGCTTCTTGAACATGTACATTAATGTTGAATTGAATTATTGGATAAGATTTTGACTCAATGCTTTTGAGATGATGTTAGAAGATTATTTTCTATATATAATTGTTCTTCCTTGATGTTAAAATAGAAAAATTAAACTTGCATTGGAGTTCTTCACTATTGACATATTAAGTAATGTAATTTAAGAAACATTTAAACTTGAAGTAGAATATTTTATAAAGTCCTCCTTTCTTGTTTTTTATTACTTAGTTTGAATATGTGACATAATAATGGGAAAATCAATAGTTTGGCATACATTTGAATTTGCTATTTCATACTTCTTAAGCACCAATATTATTATATCTCTAAAATGGATAATTTAAAATAGATTTAAACCTAAATATGAATATCTGTTGCATTTTTTTAGCCCTTTTTAATCTAGTAGTATTCTCCTTTTTCTCCCTCTTTTTATTTTAAACCAAGTCCCTTCTTGCTTCCTCATTAAACTTATACTACACCACCATTTCTCATCTTTTCCTTCAGGTTTTTTATGTTTGCCTCCTCCTTCTTGCCCATTGACATTCCTTGATTGTAATTAAAATTGAGTGAACTTTACAAATTCACTCAAATTCATTCAAGAGAATCTTTTAATAAGATTTGTGCAGTTCTTACATAGCCCATCATTACCATTTATTCAACTAGATTTCTTTGTGTTTAGAAATCAAAATTTGCCCTAAAAGATGCAGAGGATAAGAAAGATAGTCATATCTGCATATTTTGTACAGCTACTAAAATTAGAATTGAATGCTACTTGAATTTCTATACTAAATTCTTAAATTTTACCATTTGGGCATTAAAACTATATTTTATCCTTTATTCAACGATTATCTTTTGTTTTGACATGTTTCCATTGTTGTAAAATATTTAATACATTGTTTTTGTTATTTAATTTTCTCTAGGTTGAAATTCTTGAAAATGAGATTGTTCAAGAAAAGCAAAGTCTTCAGAATTGTCAGAATTTAAGCAAAGATTTAATGAAGGAGAAAGCTCAGCTTGAAAAAACAATTGAAACACTTAGAGAAAATTCAGAGAGACAGGTTCATAAATTTCTTACTAAGCAAACAATGTATTTTAAAATTTATTAACAAAAGTTATTTTAAAGTATATGTTTATGAGGTATTCATATAACATTAAAGAGAAATGTTTTAGAATCTTTTAGATCTTAAAGTAACAATAATTTTACCTTATTTTCTATCTTTGGAAAATAAACGAGAAAGCTTAGAATTTTTTAAATTGTAGTGTGCTTAATATAATCATCTAGTATAAAATTCTGCAATACTTGTGCTTTCAGGTACTTTCAAGCGTCTAGAATAGGGCTGTAGATTCTAAAGTCCCTGAGTGGAGTTGGAGAGAACCACAGCAATACTGTGACCTACTAAAGAGGGAGAAGTGTGGTGGCCCCAATCTTGGATATTATCAAATTTGCTTTCAAGTGTTTGTTTGTTCTTGTTTTATTAAAAGCATTTTTTTATTGTTGTGTTTTTGGAGCTAGGATCTTTTTTTTTTTTGAAGCAGAGTCTTGCTCTGTCCCCCTCGGTAGAGTGCAGTGGCATCAGTGGCATTGTAGCTCACTGCAACTCCAAACTGCTGGCTCAAATGAGCCTCCTGCCTCAGCCTCCCAGGTAGCTGGGACTACAGGCGTGTGCCATGACACCCAGCAAATTTTTCCATTTATAATAGAGATGGGCGTCTCACTCTTGCTGGGGCTGGTGTTGAACTCCTGAGCTCAAGCAATTTTCCTGCTTTGGCCTCCCAGAGTGCTGGGATTACAAGTGTAAACCTTGTTCTCATTTTATTAATATGTCTGAGAAAACTGAGAACTGGATAGATTAAGCAACATGCCATTTTGAAATTTTTATTTAAATGCAAGGGGAGGAGGGTGTCTATGGAAAGAAAAATAATTTATTTAGAAGTAAAATTATTTGTTTTATATAGCCCATATAATAGTCCTCAGACCATCTATAGAAATGCAGATTTCTCTAGAGCTACAGAACAAAAACTGTAGAGCTAAGCCTTAATCTACACTTCTTTTTTAAGAACTGTTACATTAGGCCATGCTATAAATTGGATGAGTTAGTTATCAAATGTACCAAGTGATTTTGTTATTTTTATATTTCCTAATTAGAAAACTTTTGGGGGAATGAATACACACATATCGTACACAACATATTTACTGAGGACCCACTGTGTATAGGCATTGTAAAAATTATTTAATGGAAGTAAAACCTTCCACATACAAGGAGGTATGTGCTGGTGTTTCGTCTATATTAGTATTTTAATTAGAAGCATGTAATTATAAATCTGAAGACCATTTTGATTAATAGAAAATACATCTCTCTTAGTAATTCCTGTAGAATCTGAATTCTTTAAAGACATGAACTTTAAAGACCTGGCAGTACATGTACACAGTGGTCTTCAATAAATATTTGTCAGAATTAAAAGTAAAACAGATATTCTAGCACCTTTTTATGTTCTCTTGTCCCTGTATTTGGAAGAGAAAAACTATGTAATTCAGAATCTTAGCTTTTGCTCAATTATAGTTTTTAATTTCCTTCTTTCTTTTTTTGAATTAGATTAAAATATTAGAACAGGAAAATGAACATCTGAATCAAACAGTATCTTCATTAAGGCAGCGTTCTCAGATAAGTGCTGAAGCAAGAGTGAAAGACATTGAAAAAGAAAATAAAATTCTCCATGAGTCTATTAAAGAAACAAGTAGCAAACTAAGCAAGATTGAATTTGAAAAAAGACAAATTAGAAAAGAATTGGAACATTATAAAGAAAAAGGAGAACGAGCAGAAGAACTTGAAAATGAGTTGCATCATCTTGAAAAAGAAAATGAATTGTTACAGAAAAAGATAACTAATTTAAAAATTACTTGTGAAAAAATTGAAGCCTTAGAACAAGAAAATTCAGAATTAGAAAGAGAAAATAGAAAATTAAAAAAAACATTGGATAGCTTTAAAAACCTTACTTTTCAGCTAGAATCCCTAGAGAAAGAGAATTCCCAACTTGATGAGGAAAATTTAGAACTGCGAAGGAATGTGGAATCTTTGAAGTGTGCAAGCATGAAAATGGCTCAGCTACAACTAGAAAACAAAGAACTGGAAAGTGAAAAAGAGCAACTTAAGAAAGGTTTAGAGCTTATGAAAGCATCTTGCAAGAAAACAGAACGCTTAGAAGTTAGCTACCAGGGTTTAGATACAGAAAATCAAAGGCTACAGAAAGCTCTAGAGAACAGCAATAAAAAAATCCAGCAATTAGAATGTGAACTGCAAGACTTAGAAATGGAAAATCAAACATTGCAGAAAAACCTAGAAGAATTAAAAATATCTAGCAAAAGACTAGAACAGCTGGAAAAAGAAAATAAATCATTAGAACAAGAGACTTCCCAACTGGAAAAGGATAAGAAACAATTGGAGAAGGAAAATAAAAGACTCCGACAACAAGCAGAAATTAAAGATACCACATTAGAAGAAAACAATGTGAAGATTGGAAATTTGGAAAAAGAAAACAAAACCCTATTCAAAGAAATTGGTATATATAAAGAATCTTGTATTCGTCTGAAAGAATTAGAGAAAGAAAATAAAGAGCTCGTGAAAAGAGCAACTATTGATATAAAAACTTTGGTTACATTGCGTGAGGTAATATATTTCCTAAACTTAAGCAAGTATTTTTTATATTTTTAACTCAAAGTTTCTTTAAGTTTTATTGGAACCCACCAGTAATTTGTATTGTCTTTTTTATGGTTTAGTAGAATTTTGGAATTAGAACTAGAAACAGCTTCCCGGTTTCCTACTTTTGTTAAACTAAGAAGTACATATAAATTGTATTTTTCAAGAATTTATGGTAATAAAATTTCCATGTGGTTTCTCACTTATGACATTGTAATTTTAAACTATTATGTCAAAATAATATTAAAATATTTGATCAGGACTCTTAATGTTAAGTGTAATAAAGAAACATGATTGCTACTATTTATTGTTCTGTACCAAGTACTGGGCTAAAGACTTCATATAAGTTGTCTTTATATATATTTATAGAATTTTTACTAGCAATTCTTTGTAGATATTATATCCATTTTTTCAGATTAGAAACATGAGGTTCAGAAACACTACATAATTTACTCAGAATCACAGCTAATAAAGGGATTACTAGATTCAAACCCAGACTCCATGAATTTTGACCTCTAAATCAGAGAATACAAATCAGGTTAAACTTAAAGGTCAACACTGAACAACTAGTAGTTGCTTGGATCTGTGTTGGGAAGAATTCTGAAATTTACAAGAGTAGATTGGCAGTATGTCCTGTGAAACATAGTTAGTGCAGATCAGAAGATAAGGCTCTTTTTTGCCATCCCTGTGCAGTATGATATGTGATAATCCTTTTCATGTTCAATTAAAAAGTGTCTTAGCATTCTGGCAGAAAGTCACATTGAGGAGTCTGCATTTTTGCAAAAGAGGCATTGAGAGAGGGACCTTTTTATTGTTTTCTTCTGTTCTACAGTCTTACAGACATGAACAACAGGCTCATTGTGCCTGAACATCTAAGAACGTCCCCTAATTCAGACCAATACCTTAGGTCTCTTTCACAGGGAGCAGGGGGCCTTGTGGTAGGAGAGGAGTGTTGTATCCAATATATATTTATAGGAAGAAATACACACTGAAGTTCTAGCTCATTATTAAAAAGTAAATGGATATATGTTTTTTCCTTTACAGTTTTCAAACTTAAGGTGTGTACGTACAAGTAAAGAGTTTCCTTTTTCTTTTTAACAGAGTTAAAAAACAGTATTAGCAAAAGGAAAGAAGGAAAAAAATTGTTTCAATTAGGTTATAACTTTGTTTAACCTACTGTTCAATGATGAAGGAAAGGTTCAGTGACAATATTTCTGTCTTTCTTGCTTCAAATTAAATGTATTCCTAGATGATGCTAATTAGAATCTTAGCTGATTTTATTAGATGTTTATGCTCTTGGCACTTACATGGATTGTGCATTCCTCTTATAATAAGGATTTGGTGAGTGAAAAATTGAAGACTCAACAGATGAACAATGATCTCGAAAAATTAACTCATGAGCTTGAGAAGATAGGGTTAAATAAAGAGCGACTATTACATGATGAGCAGAGTACTGATGACAGGTGAGTATTAAGTCTATTTGGCAAATAGTTTGTTATATTTTTTCCTCAAACATTAATTATTTCCTGTACTAGCTGCAGAAAACAGTTATGTATTTTATCCTATTTCTGGTTCCTTTCTTCCCTTAGAGAAAGTCGTGTAAGAAAAAAAAGTATCAAAGGCAATCTAATATTAATACAAGAAAACAGAAAGCTAAAATGTTATTATATAAATACAATTACAAAACAGTAAAACAGGATGCCACACAGGTAGCAGAAGATCGGAGACTATAATTGCCTCTGAAAGCAGAATAAGACATGAACAACAAACAAACTTATCCCTCATCAAATACACAGACAATTAAACAAGTTATTTTTTATTTGAATCATGTGTATAAATGTCACACTTGTTTCATTTCTTTATTTGCCAAAATACAGAATCAAAGAGAAATGAAGGGAAGGTATATGACAAAGGAAAATACTAAGAAATAATAAAGGTATAAAAATGTGGAAAACTGAGGCCTGACAAGCAGGATAAAAAATTAACTCATATACTCTTCTTTTTTTTTTTTTTTGAGACAGAGTCTCTCTCTGTTGCCCAGGCTAGAGTGCCATGGCATCAGCCTAGATCACAGCAACCTCAAACTCCTGGGGTCAAGCAATCCTTCTGCCTCAGCCTTCCGAGTAGCTGGGACTACAGGCATGCACCACCATGCCTGGCTAATTTTTTAATATATTTTTAGTTTTATATATTTTATATATATATATTTTTAGTAGAGACGGGGTCTCGCTCTTACTCAGGCTGGTTTTGAACTCCCAACCTTGAGCAATCCGCCTGCCTCGACCTCCCAGATGCTAGGATTACAGACGTGAGCCACTGTACTCGGCCTCTCATATACTCTTTAATCTTAAAAATGATCACTATAGGTTTAAAGAAAGTTTCTATTTTCTTTTTTTTTTTTTTTTGTGACAGAGTCTCACTCTGTTGCCTAGACTAGAGTGCCATGGCATCAGCCTAGCTCACAACAGCCTTAAACTCCTGGGCTCAAGTGATCCTTCTGCCTCAGCCTCCCGAGTAGCTGGGACAACAGGTGTGCGCTACCATACCTGACTAATTTTTTCTACATATATGTTTAGTTGGCCAATTAATTTCTTTCTATTTTTAGTAGAGAAGGGTTCTCGCTCTTGCTCAGGCTTGTCTGTAACTCCTAAGCTCAAATGATCCGCCCACCTTGGCCTCCCAGAGTGCTAGGATTACAGGAGTGAGCCACCGCACCAGGCCTGAAAATTTCTGTTTTCTTACGGTAATTATAGTTTGTCAAACAAAGTTAATCTGATTTTCAAGTCTTTGATTTAGCATCTAGTCAGCTGCATGGTTCCATCTAGATTAGAAGAGCAAGAATCCATCTCTACTAAAAATAGAAAGAAATTAATTGGCCAACTAAAAATATATATAGAAAAAATTAGCCGGGCATAGTGGCCTATGCCTGTAGTCCCAGCTACTCAGAAGGCTGAGATAGAAGGATGGCTTGAGCCCAGGAGTTTGAGGTTGCTGTGAGCTAGGCTGACGCCATGGCACTCTAGCCTGGGCAACACAGTGAGACTCTGTCTCAAAAAAACAAAAACGTTAGTTCTATAATAACGAGAAGTAATTTGAGGCATTTATTCTATCAATCAGTTCAATTCATTGTTGGATTACTTACACAGATATTTCATGAAGAAATATTTTTTGTTTGAATCGATAGTTAAGAACCAATTTATTTGACTGTCTTTTAATATAGATATTGAATATGCATTCCTTCTTTATTTAAATAGATTTATTATTTTCTGTGTGTAAAACACTGCACTGCATATCTTTGGCAAAAGAAAAAGAAGAGTAAACCATGTAGCTGCCCAAATTCACCTTTTTTTAAATTTATGAACCCAGTTTTAGGTGGGCCCTTTATATTGTTTGGCACCTCTTCCCAAACCTTAGTTCATACAGTTAGTTAATCTTAATTGAGCTCTTACCATCTGCTGATCAGCAAACATCAACGTGATAATACTTTAACTGAACTTTGAAGAATGATAGAGGTTTGCAAGGTGGAGACAGTGGGAAAGGGCATTCTATGCAGAGAAAGGCATTTGTATTAATATAAAAGCACAAAAGTATGTTGAGCAATTATTAGAGTGATATGAAGGATGGATTAGAAAAGGGGTGAATTTGGAGGCACAGAGACCAGTTAGGAAGCTCCTGTAATAGTCTAGGCAAGATGTAATGCATTCATTATTCCACATATATTTATTTATATAATGAAAGCATTAGACATGGAGATAAGGGTATATGTTGAACTAAAGCTTTTAGGAAATGGAATTGAGAGCAGTCGATAACTGTAACTGAATTTGTGAGAATCAGTAAAGAAGTGTCTTATGCCACTAAACCAGCTTCTTTGCCATTAAGATAGCCTTCATACAAATAAAATAGAAGCTCATAAACATAAATTCCTTTAATATTTATGCCCTCCATCTTGGAATTTATGTATATCGATCTCAGATGATTTCCTTAATCTCTTTATTAGTCTAACTTTTCCATCTTTCTAATTTATGTTATTTCCTCTGACCTCCTTTGAAGGTACAACTATTAAGATACTTTTTGTTGCCTTCAAGTAATATATAGTCTGGTTATAGAATTGAATGTATGGATAAATTAAAATGCAACAAAGTAAATGTATTGGTAGAATTGTACACAGATGTAATCATTCCTGTTTTTCTTTTTTAATAGCCTTTTTCCTCTGTCATCTCTTTAAATATAGTTGTTTGTGGGATTATGTTTTCAGGCCTCTTAATCCATTCATTCTGTATGTTGAACATTCCCATCCATCATCTCACCAGTGGTCCTCATTTTTCTTTGCTTACTGTACATCTCCATCAGGAAAGTCCAGAAGGAACTCAGATGTCCCACATTCAACATAACCAAAATCAGACTCAGTAAATGCTTTAAGAAAAAAAGGTTGTTGACTCGAGTCAATACTAAAATGAGTAAGAATTGTTCTCTGTATTCAGTGAACTTAAAATCTGATTGAGCAGAAAATATATACATATAAATTAATCATAATAAAAAGCAGAATGTGCTGAAATTTCTCATAGATACACTTCAGGTTTTTATTTGGTTTTGTCTTCAGGGTCCTCAGGTGTAAGAAATGGATCATAATTTTTGGTTTATGATGCACTCTCAGATTGTATTCATGCCCTGTCCTTTTTGTGAAAAAAAATTGACTTAATAATAATATAATTATTCATGTATCCACCTTTCAGAAAGATAATTAGAATATTGACAGTCACATCTATCTGCTCCTTACCACTCTGTGACCAGTATCCTATGTCATGAGTATATCATTACCTTTTTTTTTTTTTTTTTTTTTTTTTTTTGAGACAGAGTCTCACTTTGTTGCCCAGGCTAGAGTGAGTGCCATGGCGTCAGCCTCGCTCACAGCAACCTCAAACTCCTGGGCTCAAGCAATCCTCCTGCCTCAGCCTCCCGAGTAGCTGGGACTACAGGCATGCGCCACCATGCCCGGCCAGTTTTTTGTATATATATTTTTAGTTGGTCAATTAATTTCTTTCTATTTTTGGTAGAGACGAGGTCTCGCTCAGGCTGGTTTCGAACTCCTGACCTTGAGCAATCCACCCGCCTCGGCCTCCCAAAGTGCTAGGATTACAGGCGTGAGCCACCGCGCCCGGCCTCATTACCTTTTTTACTCTAACTTCTCTATACCTTGAAGACAAAGTCTTCAATAAGTTTTAAGTCTTAACAGTTCATGGGTCTTTTTATAAGCTAATTGTATAATTAATATTGTAGGCAAGTGCTTGTTGATGTAATGAATCCATCCACCTCCAGTCTATATACATTCTATTATAATACTATAAGGAATATTTTGGGACTTCGATCTTCTAGATTCCATTTGAGAGCATTAATTGTTGCTTTTGTCAGTCTAGACTGTATGCTAGAGCTCTGTTCACTCAGTGATTTTATTGCTTTGTGACTAGGAATAGTTTTAAAGGAGGAATGGGGCAGTAGGAAGAGGGTAATTTAATTTACCTCTTTTTAAAAAAGACTTACGGCATCAATATTTGTGGTCATAAATTATCTTTTAAAATAATTTTCTGACCTCCAGCCAGTGATGAACTATATTCTTTTTGTACTCGGATAGTAGGTATAAACTTCTGGAATCAAAATTAGAATCTACTCTTAAGAAGTCCCTTGAAATAAAAGAAGAAAAAATTGCTGCTTTAGAGGCTCGATTAGAAGAATCCACAAATTATAACCAGCAATTACGCCAAGAACTTAAAACAGTAAGTGATTTTCTTGGAAAGAGTTTTAATCATCATTTATTTTATAAATATTTGGACAGAAAAATGTAAAAAAAAAAATTTAAAATTTTATCAATATTTAGCCTGTTTCTTCATTTTTCATAATTTTGAGATTATTCCTAAACAAACCTTTGTCATATGGATATGGTAAAATTTATTCAGTCCTATTTCATGTGTGTAATGTCCCTCATGCAGTTAGGGACATAGAATTGTAGGGGTGGGATAAGGAAGAGGCAGGCTTATTGTATTAGGAAAAGCTTTCAGTGAGATAGTGACACTTTACTCTGGTACTCTTTTCCTATTGAGAATCCAGGTAATGTTTTGATAGGCAGAGATAGGGTTGTGAGGATACCAAATAGAGGAAAATCATTTGTGTGGTAGAAAACACCTGATCTCATAAATTGGAGGGTTTTTAGATCTGTTTTCTTAAGATACTTGGAATTATTGAGTGAAGTTAGCAAAGCAGAGGCAACTATTTTCCCTAGTGAGTAAATTGAGATGTAAGGGATTTTCCCATTTCATAGGGCTAGTAGATGGTAGATTGGTAGAGTCATATTCTGGTTTATTTTTCCTTTTATTGTCTCTGCAGTGCTACCAAGAATGATCTTAAAGTCAACTAAACATTCAGACTGACAAGATGACTATAGGCTACATTTAGAATCACTCTGTTTAGAAGATTATAGGATATACAACTAGTTCGCCAGACAGTATTAAGCATCCCTCTTCACATAGTTGGCTGGTAGTCATCTTCCCACCAGATGACAGTTTGGGTGCAAGATGAGATTCACATTGGGTGTGTGTGTGAGCTGCCCTGGCTTTGAGACCCCATGTTCCACATGTTCCATTACCTCTTGCAAAAACTCCAAAGGCATAGATTTAAGATCCCCAAGATGAACATACCAATTATAGGAATTGCTGCATGCAGAGAAGGTTAGAGATTTGGCTTCCTATTAGGTATTTACACTTTTCCTAGTCCAAATAGGTGTCATTTTTCCCATAAGCAATGTTGCCTAGTAACAGAATTTTCCGGTTATGTCAGGTTTCCAGAGAAACAGCTAACTAAATTTGAATTTCTCAAGCAGAAAAGGAAGTTTGTTCACCATTAGCCCATGCCATCATTGCTGGTATTTGTCACAGACATTGCCGTGGAACATATATGGTTACAAAATAAATTGTATGTATTTATGTATTTTTCAGCCATACATTCTCAGAACCAGAGAATAAATTTTAGAACTGTTTAGTTAAATAAAGGATTATCCAAAAAATAAAGTAAAACTTGGTACCAGACTTGATGAATCTGTTTTATGTCCTGAATTTTTTACCTTATTAAGCAATATCAGTGGGTTACAAATAAAATCAACTTCATAAAGCTACTCAGCCAGAAAATAAGTGAGTTTTGGTATGGATTGGTATATGTGTTCCAAGTTTGAAAGGTAGAGATTTAAAACTCCATCATTGTCTTCTACTTTCAGCTATCTTGACATTACTGTTGTGGAGTAGCTTCCTGCAATACACTTGTATTCAACTGGAATTATACTGTTCTAAGCTTTTTGTTTTCCCCCTATGAGATGGGGTCTTGCTCTACGGCCCAAGCTGGAGTGCAGTGGCACAATAATAGTTCACTGCAACCTCCAACTTCTGAGTTCAATCAATCCTCCCACCTCAGCTTCCTGAGTAGCTGGGACTACAGGCGAGTGCCACCGTGCCCAGCTCATTTTTTAAAATGTTTATAGAGATAGGATCATGCTATGTTGCCCAGGCTGGTTTCAAACTTCTGGCCTCAAGCAATCCTCCCACCTCAGCCTCCCAAAATGCTGGGATTACAGGAATGAGCCACTGCACCCACCCTTAAGCTTTTAGTACTACATATGAAGAGGCAATATCATTTCAAGATAGACTGTGAAAGTTAAATGTGAATAGGATAAGGCCTTAAAGTAACCACTAAATTAGTATGAGAAAGAGTTATAGCTAATATGATCAAAAAAGGGAAATAAAATGGAATCATAAAAAATAAATCCAAAAGAAGGCAGAAAAAGAAGAAACAGAGAACAAAGTACAGATTGTACAAATAAAAACAAACATTAAGATGGTAGTTTTAAACCAAAGCATGCCAATAATCACGTTAGATATAAAAAGTCTAAACACCCTAGTTAAAAGACAGAAATTAATAAACAAAAAGGCAAGAGCCACTTATATGCTGCCTATAAGAAACCTTGATGGAAAATGATACATCATTCTAAAACTAATCAGAAGAATGCTAAATTGGCTATATTAATATTAAACAACAGGCCGGGCGCAGTGGCCCACGCCTATAATCCTAGCTCTCTGGGAGGCCGAGGCAGGTGGATTGCTCGAGGTTAGGAGTTCAAAACCAGCCTGAGCAAGAGAGAGACCCCGTCTCTACTCTAAATAGAAAGAAGTTAATTGGCCAACTGATATATATATCAAAAAATAATTAGCTGGGCATAGTGGCACATGCCTGTAGTCCCAGCTACTTGGGAGGCTGAGGCAGTAGGATCGCTAGAGCCCAGGAGTTTGAGGTTGCTGTGAGCTAGGCTGACGCCACGGCACTCACTAGCCTGGACAACAAAGCGAGACTCTGTCTCAAAATAAATAAATAAATAAATATTAAACAACGTAAATTTTAGAGCAACAAATAGTACCAAGGCTAAAGAAGTTCATTTCACAATTATAAAGGGGTCATTCCAGCACAAAGACATAACAACATTAAATGTGCACCTAATAATAGCTTCGAAATATGTCAAGCAAATGTTTATAGAACTGCATGGAGGAAAACAAATCCACAATTATAATTAGAAGCTTTAATACCAATCTCTCAATAATTGGTAGAAAAAGTAGAAAGAACTACATCTGCCAAATAAAGACCTACAGCTAACTTCATCCCTAATTATGAAAGACTAATCACTTTTCCCTTTTTTTTTTTTTTTTTTTTTTTTTTTTTTTGAGACAGAGTCTTGCTTTGTTGCCCAGGCTAGTGTGAGTGCCGTGGCGTCAGCCTAGCTCACAGCAACCTCAAACTCCTGGGCTCGAGCGATCCTTCTGTCTCAGCCTCCCGAGTAGCTGGGACTACAGGCATGCGCCACCATGCCCGGCTAATTTTTTATATATATATCAGTTGGCCAATTAGTTTCTTTCTATTTATAGTAGAGACGGGGTCTCGCTCTTGCTCAGGCTGGTTTTGAACTCCTGACCTTGAGCAATCCGCCCGCCTCAGCCTCCCAGAGAGCTAGGATTACAGGCGTGAGCCACCACGCCCGGCCCACTTTTCCCTTTTGATCAGGAACAAAGCAAAGATAATGCTCTCCCTGTTTCTATTAAACACTCTACTAATCAGTGAACTAAGAAGAAGAAAAGGCATAGATTTGAAAGGAAGAAGTAAAAACATCTTTATTCATCTATGATAGGATTATATTTACAGAAAATCCTCAGGATTTCTCAGAAAAATCTCTACAGCTAATATGAACTTATCATTATCATAGGATAAGGGTCAATATATGAAAATCTGTTGTATTTTTTATATATTAGCAATGAAATTTAAAAGAAATACACTATTTACAATACCATAAAATAACATGAAATACTTAGGGATGACTTTAAGGAAATGTATGTAAGATCTCCATACTAGAAACACCTAAGGAATACTTTTTAATTTTTTTAACAAAATGGAATTAAACTGCTACCCTAGTAAATTAAGTACCATGTTCATAAATTGGAAGACTCAATATTTTTAAAATGGCAGATCTCCCCAGATTGATCTGTCAGTTCAACATAATCCCAATCAAAATCCCAACAAGGTTTATATATAGATTAAAAAGTTGATTTTAGAATTTATATTAAAATATTAATCATATATTGGTGAGAATTTGCAGCAACTGCAACTATCACACATATTGGTAGGAATGGTAAGATGTTATAACTAATTTAGAAAACAGTATGACAGTTTCTTATAAAGTCAAATATACCTAACCTATCAGCTGACAGTTTTCAAGGAAAATGAAAACATAAGTAAATGGATTTTTGTAACAGCTTAATTCATCATATTAATAAACTAGAAATAACCCAGTGACCATCCCAATTAAAAATAACTGGGAATAACACTTTGATCAACCTAGTTGAATAAGCAAATGTTGGTATATACATATAATGGAATATAGCACAGCGATTGAAAAGAAATTGATACAGTCAACACATAGATAAAGCTTAGAAACATGCTCAGAAAAACATATACATAAAAAAGGATTATATACTCTCTGATTTTATTTATTTTTAGAATAAGCAAAACTAAATTTTGTTGAAGGAAATCAAAATGTGGTTGCCTGGTGAGTCTTTCTAGAGTAACGGAAATGTAAATGTTCTGTCGCATTGATATATAGGTTACATGGATGTATGCCATGCCTAATTACACTTAAAATCTACATTAGAAACTATGTAAATTATACCTTAATTTTAAAGATTATATTATCTTTAGGAACCATTGAAAATTTATGTATGTATATATATATATATATATAAATTTTTTGTTTGCTTTTGTTTTGGTGATAGGGTCTTGTTTTGTCACCCTAGATTGGTATACAGTATGGTGGCAACATCATAGCTTACTTGCAGCCTCAAACTCCTGGGCTCAATCAATCCTCCTGTGTCAGCCTCCCATGTAGATAGTGCTGTAGGCATCTACCACCACACCTAGCTAATTTTTTTTTTAGAGACAGGGTCTCATTCTGTTGCCCAGGCTAGTCTGGAATTTCTGGCCTCAAGCAGCCCTCCCATCTCTGTCTCCAAAAATGCTGAGATTATAAGCATGATAATTTATAATATTTTTAATTTTAGTTAAATTAAACTTTGACAATTTTTAATTAGCTCTAAATTACTTTGTTACATTGATTGTTTTATCTTGATTCAGTTTATTCATTTCCTGTGTATATGTAGAGATTTCTTAAATTTTTTTTATTTATTTAATTTTTTGCTACCTACCCCCCTTTTTTTTTTTTTTTGTTTTTTTGTTTTACAAAATACCCTCAGATTTTAAATTTTTTTTTTTTTTTTTTTTTTTGAGACAGAGTCTCGCTTTGTTGCCCAGGCTAGAGTGAGTGCCGTGGCGTCAGCCTCACTCACAGCAACCTCAAACTCCTGGGCTCAAGCAATCCTTCTGCCTCAGCCTCCCGAGTAGCTGGGACTACAGGCATATGCCACCATGCCCGGCTAATTTTTTCTATATATATTAGTTGGCCAATTAATTTCTTTCTATTTATAGTAGAGACAGGGTCTCGCTCTTGCTCAGGCTGGTTTCGAACTCCTGACCTTGAGCAATCCGCCCGCCTCGGCCTCCCAGAGAGCTAGGATTACAGGACCGTGCCGGGCCCCTACCCCCTTTTTTATGGTTCCTTTACTTCCTGTATTAATTAATGGTACATAAAGTAAAGGAACCATAAAAAAAAGAAAAGGAACCATTTTTAATGCTTAGTTGAAAGAACAATGGGCTAAAAATGAGAAACCATGAGTTTATTCTTAGCTCCCCTTCTGTTAATAATGGCATATGTTTATAACTTTTGTAAGCCTAGAAAAAAGGGCGGTGTGGGAAATTTTTATAAGCTAGGAGACTGTAAATGCTGTCACTCATCTATTTTTACTAGGCTGTTAAAAAAAAAAAACTTGGAAAATCAGGATCCTAGAACCCCTCTTTATTTTTTTTATTTTATTTTTTTTGAGACAGAATCTCGCTTTCTTGCCTAGGCTAGAGTGAGTGCCGTGGCGTCAGCCTAGCTCACAGCAACCTCAAACTCCTGGGCTCAAGCGATCCTCCTGCCTCAGCCTCCCGAGTAGCTGGGACTACAGGCACGAGCCACCATGCCCGGCTGATTTTTATATTATATATATTAGTTGGCCAATTAATTTCTTTCTATTTTTATGGTAGAGACGGGGTCTCGCTCAGGCTGGTTTTGAACTCCTGACCTTGAGCAATCCGCCCGCCTCAGCCTCCCAGAGTGCTAGGATTACAGGCGTGAGCCACCTCGCCCGGCCTAGAACCCCTCTTTAGATCACTTACCAAACTTTACATTACATCCTATCTTGGTATCTTGGCATGTTTTTTCTTTAGTCTCACCTCATTATTTCCTAACTCAGTGGTAGCAATATTAGTTTATTGTTGAGTCACAAGCTTTCTTAAAGTTTTGCATTAAACTATTAAACATTTCTATACTTGCTTTAATTTAAAGGTTGGGGTTAATTTAGAGATTTATGGTAAACATCTCCTAGGATAAACTAGTTATTCAAGATATTAGTAAATTTAAATTGAAGAGAGTTATTAAATTAAATCTGGCAATTTTGGTCATGTAAGATGAACAGGTTATTAGTAGTTAGTAATCCAAGGATATATTTTATCCAGGATTTTCTGATGTGATTACACCCTAAAATAAGAGAGACAACTCAAAACTGAAAACTTCTGAATAAGGCTAGACAACATAGCAAGACCCTATCTCTACTTAATGTGAAAAAAAGAAAAAAAATCCTGAATAAAATACATCTTTGGATTGTTCACTCCTTATAAGAGAAATTACAGTAATTACATGTGGATTAAGATCTTAATAAAGGAGTCATTTATGACCCTTAAAAATGTTCTAGAAGAGAGATGGGATGAATAAAACATTTTTCCTTAAAAAAAAAAAAAGAAGTCATTTATGTATTAACATTGTTCATTCTAGGTAATATATTTTTATTAAAAGGGCAGGCATTTAAAGATAATTCCTCAACTTTAATTTAGGTACCTTTTTAAGATTATTAACATGTCAAATCGTTACTTGTTCTTTATATACAGATCTCTAGATTGGTTCTAGATAGCTCTGAAAAGAATCATTAGTATTTAGCAACATTATCCACTAATCTATTCTTCAGGGCCATTTTCATCACAAACAATAAGATTTGAAATTACAGAATATGTTTTAGGAACATGGCACATAAGCAGAGTATACTTAATATTTCTAGGAGGAAAGGCCTTGCTTTTTTAAAAGCACAAATTGTGATCATGATAATAATTTTCATATATATTTCATACATATCACAAAATTTTTACTGTTTTTTTTTTCTTTACACTCAAGTGATAGAGTTTATCACAGTTTTAAATAAAGTGTCTCTCACATTCACCAGACCAGGGCAGAGTCAAATTCATTGTGAGTAATACAAGTTTGGTGATTTTTTTTCTCCCCATTAAAATATTTTAAATGAAATTTTAGGTGAAAAAAAATTATGAAGCCCTCAAACAGAGACAAGATGAGGAGAGGATGGTACAGAGCTCTCCTACAGTATCTGGTGAAGATAACAAATGGGAGCGAGAAAGTCAAGAAACAACAAGAGAGCTTCTGAAAGTTAAAGACAGATTAATTGAAGTAGAAAGAAATGTAAGTATTTTTTAAATTTTGGTAGGAATACTTTTTTAGAAAATTTTTCTAATCTGGTTTTGTATTTTCATGACTGATTTATTTTATAATATAAAAAAGACTGAATACAGGCCGGGCGCTGTGGCTCACGCCTGTAATCCTAGCTCTTGGGAGGCCGACCCTTTTTTGTGGACTCCATGGAAGCCACATTTTCTCAACTAATTATGTACTCTTTATGTCATCTTTTTGTGGATAAAATGGACATCCACCCTTCTTCCTTGGCTGGGGGAAACCTCAGTTTTGTTTAGCGTGCTTCAGCCTTTCCTTAAGCAATCATGGGTTCATTCTAGTTCCTTTTATCGGAGGTTCAATTTAGGACATATTACATGGACCCACTTTGGTCATTGAGGATTAACAGGAATCTGCTGTAGTGCTTCTGCGGAAACGGTTTCTTGCCTGTTAAAAAAGAGGACAAGAAGGAGATATGATTTTTCTTCCATTGGATTATTCTTACGAAAGTTAAATATGTTTACTTTCGCAACAACTTAGAAAAATCGCCCAGTAAAAGGGTGATTTATCCAATACACTCTGCAATTAGGCATTACTGGATTGTTAGCATTACATTGGGTACTCTTGGCTCATCTAGGTTTACCATTTACAGGGGTTATGGTCTTGGGGGAGGGCTATACTTTAAGCAGGGTGAGGGGAAGACTATATGCTATTTATTTGTTTCTATGGTAACAAATTGGCTTACTTTGGCCTTTTGGGGAGCAGATATTAAAAGCGTATAACTCCACTTCCTTAGTCTTGGCGTCAAGTAAATATATTAAAGAATGGAATATTTTATTTTTGGAGGAGTTACTATAAGGCAGGGGAATGGGACACAGGCAAATTGACTCTTAACTAAGGAGTTCCACAGTCTCTATAAAGAAGATGGTTTTTAATTGACACTTCTTAGTTTTGGAGAGTTTGTGTAATCCATGTTGATTCTAGGCATGTGATTTTGTTCGATGATTAGTGAGGTACTCGCTCTATGTCTGTGGCTTTATGGTCTCTTTTGGGTCTCAAGATTATAGTGTTTTGGATCATGATGGTAGTAATGCTCTTGTACAAAACCAAAGTCTTACAATGTCGAGTGTTGTTTATATCAGAGGCATTTCCTTGAGGGGTAAGTGATGTTATTTAGGACCCTATTCAGGCATCAACTTTCATTCGTAATTGTTTGGCAGATTTTCAGTTCCTTAACAGACTGTTATGGAGGATTGGTGCTGTAGCGACCTCGCATATGCAAGGATATGTCGCCGTTGTTTTGAATATACTTACGGACTGAGGGTCAGGTGTGACACATGTATTTAACTTTGCTCCCTCAAGTTTCCAGGACACTTTCTTGCCACTTCAGGAGGCAAGACAGTGTCTATGTTCAGGGAAGGCTAGTCATTCAAACAGTGGACCAATCCTCCTCTCTCCTATCAGGTGTGGCAAGCGAGGAAAGGTAATAGATCTAACTTGGGTTTAAATGGAAGTCACAGTTCTTTTATAACCAAATCATGAAATGACATCATACTTTATTGCTACTCTAAAACTCATCATGGTTAGCGCAAGCAAAAGATTTCAGGTAGACTCCCCAGGTGATAATGTCAGATATACTTTGTTTTTGTGATGTATGCAGACCGAGGTTCGAGATATGAAATATTTAATGCCGGACTCATAGGAATCTCATAAGTGCTGGGGGGGCCCCACTAAGTCAGTGGGGAGACGGGTGATAATGTGTTAGTGTACACAAATGTGTCTTAATGACAAAATTAATTGAGAAAATACCAGTCATATATAAGATGGGTGTGTTTATTCAATTGTAAAGGTCATGTCCTTCTAAATGCCGAACTCTTTCATATGTCCAGCTTTTTAAACATAGTACAGAGCCATCTAAATACTAATAATAAATATCACTCAATAAATATAAATGAGCAAAGATTAATTTTATATTACTACAATATAGTTCAATAATACATGGCAACATGGTGTGTCTATTGGGCGTTTAGCTATATGTGTGTGGGTGATGAGAAAAACTCAAAATTGGAAAGGACACAAGGGGAGGGGGGGAGATAGTATGTTACTTTTGATATGATTTAAAGTTCACAGGTTAGTGTGGGTAACCGATTAGGTATAGCACTATGGTAGCAGGTGACAGACATTTAGGAGGGCCTCCAGAATTTCTCGTCGTTTCTCTTAACAACTACTTTACTAGATGCAATCTCAGAGTCGTCGGTTGCACGTGTTAGACCTGACGCCTTGGGTCATAGCACAACACTCTATAAGATAAGAGTTCATGACGAAGTATACCCATGCCTAATGTATGTACGCAAATATAGACGAGTTTTTTTTTGTGTGGCTCAACACTTGAGTACTTATCTTATAGAAAGGTAGTATTAAAGGTGGATCAAGGACTGGGTGGACTCTCTCGCCTCATAGAGAAATTTCAACATATGTATAGAAGATTTTTGCAGGTAGTGGACTGGCCGTAACTTCTTGAGTGAAGGTAGTGACATGGTCCTAGGAAGCAGAGAGGCCCTTGGGAGCAGATTATATATCAGTACTGGAGAGGTGGTCGGTGATATCATGACAGTGAATTGTCAGTTGTTGCAAGTAGTTGTAGGGCTAAATAACAATAGACCACATTAAGACGATTATAGATAGGAAGACATAGGGAAAAGAGAGATGAATGTAAATCTTTGTTGTCCATATTGTTGGTTGAAGACTGGATTGCAACTTTAAACTGAAAAGGTAGAGAAACTGAAGTACATAATAACGCACTTCATCGAGTATGATCATTGGTAAACGCTCTTTCTCGGCGCAAAATGCAAAATAAATGCTACCAGTCTTAATATTCATAGCATGATAATATATGCGGTTATAGAGATATAGGGATAATATTGCACTTTTATTTTATCTTTCTTTATGCTTTTTGTTGGTATGTCGGATGTCTGGCTCAGGGGTAAGCAAATGATTGGCTAAGTTTTGAAGGTGTGTGGGCTTCTCGCAAGTATAACCCATCGAACGATTAGTAAAATACTCTTCTGGATTAGGTTAATTAGAGATCTGAACTCATTTGGGGTACCATTGGTAGCGTATTAAGAAATAAGTCTTGTTTAAGCAGAATAGATAGACTAGAAGACAAAAGTTTTATATAATAACCTAGGAGGTTGAAAATTACCAACCTCTCTTATATTCTCTACTAGAGCAGGCTTGGGATAATCGCTCCTCCCCTTTGAACCAGAATGACACATTAACCTCGGTCCATAATTGCAGTGTCTAATCGGCGCATTTGTAGGTTCCATATGTTCCTCCTCCGCAGAGAATGTAGAATATTATGACTGGTCTCTCCAATCATAAAAGGTAAGCCCTCGCCGTAGACAGAGCTAGAAAACATTATACTGCGGTATGATTCCTCTGGATCAAAGGATCATGAAAAGCTGGAACAATTCTCTTAGGTATTATAGAATAATCAAATCGTGTCCAGAGCATTTTCTGTGGGAGATATATTTGTCCTGATAAGTCCTTTTCTTTATCTATTGGATTGGCCTCGGAACTCGGTTCGTACATGAGTCCTAGCCCACACATCATATCTTATTTTGGATTTGCAGACGGCAGCTATTCTCGTTCTCGAAAGTGTGCTGGATCCGGTAAATTTGTGGTGTGCACACCAGGCCGTTGGTTATTGGGGATGTGTGGTAATATAATTTCTACACATAAGGAGAAAACTCTTTGTGGTGTTGCGTGTCCATATGAACGAACGTTTTCTTCAATTTTACTGATGGTTGTGTTTTTATAACTCCAATGTATAGGTTCTAGCAATCATATATTTAAGAAGTATATCTAATAGGTAATTGTATGTAGGAAATTTGTATAATTTACATGTGTTTTTGTGTGATACTTATTAATAAATTTACTCTTATTTTCCTTCATTTTAAAATGGTTTTTTCTTTTTTTGAAAATATTATAACAAATGCTAACTTTTTTTTGCCAGTTGACAATCAGTTACTAAAAACAGAAAGGGACAGGTTTGGAAGATTTGGAAAAAATGCTCAAAGTAGAACAGGGGAAAAAAATTGCCTGCTTGAAATTAAACCATGAGATGGTAGCTGCAGAGTACAATGAACTTTGTATTGAAATGTATGATAGGTAAGTATTATATTATTTAATTCTGTATATTGCCGGTTACACCAAAGTTGTATACTGTCTCCTTTTTAGTACCAACTTACTATAGTTACAATTGTTACACAAGTTGGCCAGAGAAATTGCTCTGATCGATAAACTATTGTGTTTTGAATTCAAGGCTATGTTAGAAAATGGGAGGGAAAATGAAGTTTTGGAAAACTGTATTTTTGCCCTTACAGGTTGTGAATACCATACATGGAAACGGATCTCACTCAGCCGCTTTTATGAAAGGGCAAAAATTGTCAGCCAAAGCCTACACAAATTCCCCAGGGAGCTGTGTACGAACAGACTCTTTGGGCACAACCGCTGCAGGGCTAAAGCTTGAGAGCAAATTTATACATCTTTGTTCCAGGCCTGGCTAACAGAGTCCGGTGTATTGGGAAACTTTGGGCCTCAGCCAAAGCCAGGAGTCTCTTTGAATATGTAACACAGGCAAGGTCTTAATAGGAAGCTTAATAAAAATTGAAATAAAAATGAAGCCCTCACAGGGATGATGTTTAATTTGGTGGCCTCTATGTGTGTGCGATCTTGGTAGACTGATATGAAAAATGGGGAAATAGATCTGTATTTTGGTGCTGTACAGTCAGCGTAACTTTTTAGGAAAAGTGTGAGGCCAAAATATCCTTTAGGAATATTGTTCTAGGGAAAAGGACCTCTAAGTCAAGACACATGATGATACCGCTCCAGACCGGAGCAGATATTAGTGTGTAAGATCAGACATTGCTCGCTATGCTGTGAAGATTTCTCTCGCGCTCTCGCTCTCTCGCGCTCAACTCTGGGTTATGCGCTCAAAGCCATCTCACATT